TTTTTTATTTACATGTAGGGTCATTCTGTTACCATTCACGCTATTCCTTTGAATTACTTTGTAATATTATCCTATAATAAAGAAACTACGATATTATCGAAACTATTTCTATAGATGAACGAACAAAACGAGCAGAATGATCGAACGGCCACCACCAAAGGAACCGGAACTGGTTTGTCTGGCACCAGATACAGAGGATGAAGTGGAAGGTTAAGTGGAAATAATTGGAAACGAAAGAGTGGTCAATTTTGGGAGCCCAGTGGCACCACCTGACATCCAGCCAACAATAGGAATTCGAGCTGAACTGATCAAAATCAGTTCAGGATTGAAAAAAAATCGCGGTAAGCCTTTAAATCTAATTGCAATGTTAATGGGTCCATAATTTTTTTCTATTGAGAAGTTTAAAAAAGAATTTACAAAATTCAGAAAGGTAAATGATACAGTAAAATCTCAAGAATCGACAATTCTTTGAATTCTTTTCACATATGAAATCTTTAATCTCAGCCCCGCAGTATCACACATCGCAAATTCAGAGAATGGAACACAGATACTGGTAAGAAAAATACAAAGAAAGCATTTTGGGGAAGGATTGGAAAAGAAAGAGGAATAAAGAAAGCTCGAAGACATGGAAAGGGAAAAGAAGAAAAGGGAGAATTCGCTATCGCCAAGACCGAGCAATTTACGCCAGCCTATCTGTATTTCCTGCGCTGGGGACCATTTTGCGACTCAGTGCAGACAATAAGATACACTGGAAGGAAGACTACGCGTAAGGGAACTGAAAAAGTGTGAACGTTGAAAAAAGGTCACCATCTTGTAAGTTCCTATACGTCTAAGTCTCTTTGCTACTATTGCGGAAGGGCGGGACGGTACAAGGCGGCAGACAAGCGCCTTCCGCTTTCTGCCCTTATGAGTTTGATATGACACTAGACTGAGTTCAATGTGGAATTGTAATTTCTGTGATCGGTAACTGCAATTGCGGTAACTGAACTACGTAAAATTCGGTTGTAACTTCAATGAAAATCTTGAAAATCACGTGTAACAGTAGTAGTAACGTGATTCTTGCAAATTGGTAATTGTAACATTTCTAGTGCCCTAAATGCAACATGTGAATGCAGCATAGAGACTGCTGTTTCATTAACTCGGAATCTCGTATTTGTAACCCTGGTAATCTATTTAGAAATGTTGTAATGCGTAATTATGGCGAGGAAAGTGATTGGTTATTCATCGCGAAACTGAAAAAATAAAAATAAATCAAAAATATCTATGTGAGTTATCGAAAAAATAGAAAAAGGAAAAAGGAGATAGTAACATTGAAAAAAGAAAGAGTAATTGGAAGAAAGTTCCCATGCCAAACCAGAAGAAGGACGTAACAGATGCGCAACCTACACTGTTTCCTCTGCTCTCGGACAAGTTAGGATACGGCCTTCTTCTTAGACACGCATGGACACATTTTCATCTACATGACAGACTTAATTTTAGATTTGTACACTTGTAGTAGAATTTTACTAGTTTCTAGGTAACAATTTATGATAATCTTTGTTACTCAGCAGTTTGAGATTATAGCAAAAATAAGCGAAAAATAGCGGGCGGAAGGAACGGCGTTAGCTACACCGTGAAATAAACGCGAAGTCGGGAGTGTCACGAATTCCTTTTTATGATAAACAGCATCATACTGTGAAAAGCACGCGGCGCATCACGCGTATATAAGCTGAAAGTAGGCGAGTGATTGCTTGCCTGTTCACTTCCCTTTGTACTGATGTCATCCGGATCGGTATTTTATGCTTCCCCCTTATTATGTCTGTATAATAGAGCTTCTCCCATTGCAAGGAAAATAGGTAAGGGAATTAGGAAGGCCCACAGGAAAGTTAGAGAAATGAAATGTAAGCAGGGTTTAATATTGTAGTAGATGAGTTAAGACTTATAAATAGTGATGTATGCAACCAACAGGAAGGAAAGGAAAGTAGGATGATAGTAGTGGATTTCGCGTTGTTATTACAAATAAAAATGCGTCCTCTTCTTTATTCTTCCACACGATTTGGCCGCGAATAAGGTTCAAAACAATTTTTGTGCGTTGGATGACTGTATAGAGAAGTCGTTTATGTCTTTCGCTGAGGCTGAAGCACCAGTGTAAAGCGAGGTCCAACTTAGACTAACAGTATGGAGCGCCATCAATCACTCTTCATTACTGTAGGATTACGGTAG